AATACTTCGGGTTAGCTTCTGGCTTGTTAATACTTCAGGTTAGTTTCTGGCTTTTTAATACTTCAGGTTAGTTTCTGGCTTGTTAATACTTCGGGTTAGTTTCTGGCTTGTTAATATTTCAGGTTAGTTTCTGGCTTGTTAATATTTCAGGTTAGTGTCTGGCTTTTTAATACTTCAGGTTAGTGTCTGGCTTGTTAATACTTCGGGTTAGTTTCTGGCTTGTTAATACTTCAGGTTAGTTTCTGTCTTTTTAATACTTCAGGTTAGTTTCTGGCTTTTTAATACTTCGGGTTAGTTTCTGGCTTGTTAATACTTCGGGTTAGTTTCTGGCTTTTTAATACTTCGGGTTAGTTTCTGGCTTGTTAATACTTCGGGTTAGTTTCTGGCTTTTAATACTTCGGGTTAGTTTCTGGCTTAATACTTCAGGTTAGTTTCTGGCTTTTTAATACTTCAGGTTAGTTTCTGGCTTGTTAATACTTCGGGTTAGTTTCTGGCTTGTTAATATTTCAAGTTAGTTTCTGGCTTGTTAATATTTCAGGTTAGTGTCTGGCTTTTTAATACTTCGGGTTAGTTTCTGGCTTTTTAATACTTCGGGTTAGTTTCTGGCTTGTTAATATTTCAGGTTAGTTTCTGGCTTTTTAATACTTCGGGTTAGTTTCTGGCTTAATACTTCGGGTTAGTTTCTGGCTTTTTAATACTTCGGGTTAGTTTCTGGCTTGTTAATATTTCAGGTTAGTTTCTGGCTTTTTAATACTTCGGGTTAGTTTCTGGCTTAATACTTCGGGTTAGTTTCTAGCTTGTTAATTCAGGTTAGTGTCTGGCTTTTTAATACTTCGGGTTAGTTTCTGGCTTGTTAATACTTCGGGTTAGTTTCTGGCTTGTTAATATTTCAGGTTAGTTTCTGGCTTGTTAATATTTCAGGTTAGTGTCTGGCTTTTTAATACTTCGTGTTAGTTTCTGGCTTGTTAATACTTCGGGTTAGTTTCTGGCTTTTTAATACTTCGGGTTAGTTTCTGGCTTAATACTTCGGGTTAGTTTCTGGCTTAATACTTCAGGTTAGTGTTTGGCTTGTTAATACTTCAGGTTAGTGTCTGGCTTGTTAATACTTCAGGTTAGTGTTTGGCTTGTTAATACTTCAGGTTAGTTTCTGGCTTGTTAATACTTCAGGTTAGTGTCTGGCTTGTTAATACTTCAGGTTAGTGTTTGGCTTGTTAATACTTCAGGTTAGTGTCTGGCTTGTTAATACTTCAGGTTAGTGTCTGGCTTGTTAATACTTCAGGTTAGTGTCTGGCTTGTTAATACTTCAGGTTAGTGTTTGGCTTGTAATACTTCAGGTTAATTTCTGGCTTAATACTTCAGGTTAGTGTTTGGCTTGTTAATACTTCAGGTTAGTGTCTGTCTTGTTTATACATGAAGTTATTTTCTGGACTGGCTAGTTTCTTGTTTTGATTCAAAATATTTAATTTCGGTGGTTCGCAGAAAAAGAGCTTAACCCGTAAGACTTGTACAGCGCCTAGGAAATGAGAGGCAATCTTGTTTGATGCTGAGAAGGCTGAACGGAAGGATCAAGAGGTGTACACCAGTATCAAGGCACGCACCTTATGATGGTTGATGTATACAGTCCATCAATCTTGATAAAAATACAATGTGTGCGCGGAGGATCTTAAACTGCAAACAGGTGAATTGAAGTCGATGGAGGCAGCATCAACGGTGTAAAATTTCGCCAGTGGATTTTTGCCTATTGGTTAGGCAAGCATATCAAGGTCCCTAGATGATGTGTCTAACACAGTAACATCTTTGTATCTTTATGATACTGTACAGCGCCTGTTTCTAATCTTTTTCTTCACGGTCCATCATGTCACATGTCACTTTATTGGCGAGCTTTCTGGGTGTGCCGTAAGTCTAGAACCAGAGGTTGTGAACACACGTAGCACTTAGTCACAATGTGCTTGTTGACTGGCTATTTAGTTTGCATTCAAGTATCAATAATAACAGTGGACACATTCAGCTCAGTAGATCAACAAAAACCTTTCACTGGCTTTTTTTTCGTTTTCCTCTATTCTTCCTGACATGAGACACTAAATGGCCAACACAACTAAAGTCTTAATAAGGAAAGCGAGTACATTTTGTAGAGTACCATCATAACATACAGTAACAAGCTTACAAACTGAACACTCAAGCTGCACAACAAGGTAACAATTCGACACACTTTGTGTAGAACTTTATCAAGTAAGACAGTTACTGTAACTTCTGTATAAATCTGAGGAGTTGATAAGGACACATGTGCAACACTCAGGTATTGTATTAAAACTTTCGCTTGCGCAGCTGGCTTTATCAGTCACACACACACAGGTGATTACAATACTGGAGGCAAGTGAAGTAAGTGTAGAGGTAATTTTGAAGCTGGTCAGTCCCTCAGCCTTGATACTGGTCAGTCCTTCAGCCTTGACACTGGTCAGTCCCCCAGCCTTGATACTGGTCAGTCCCTCAGCCTTGACACTGGTCAGTCCTTCAGCCTTGATACTGGTCAGTCCCCCAGTCTTGATACTGGTCAGTCCCCCAGTCTTGATACTGGTCAGTCCCCCAGTCTTGATACTGGTCAGTCCCCCAGCCTTGATACTGGTCAGTCCCTCAGCCTTGATACTGGTCAGTCCCCCAGCCTTGATACTGGACAGTCTCTCAGCCTTGATACTGGTCAGTCCCCCAGCCTTGATACTGGTCAGTCCCCCAGCCTTGATACTGGTCAGTCCCCCAGTCTTGATACTGGTCAGTCCCCCAGTCTTGATACTGGTCAGTCCCCCAGCCTTGATACTGGTCAGTCCCTCAGCCTTGATACTGGTCAGTTCCCCAGCCTTGATACTGGACAGTCTCTCAGCCTTGATACTGGTCAGTCCCCCAGCCTTGATACTGGTCAGTCCCTCAGCCTTGATACTGGTCAGTCCCTCAGCCTTGATACTGGTCAGTCCCCCAGTCTTGATACTGGTCAGTCCCCCAGTTTTGATACTGGTCAGTCCCCCAGCCTTGATACTGGTCAGTCCCTCAGCCTTGATACTGGTCAGTCCCTCAGCCTTGATACTGGTCAGTCCCCCAGCCTTGATACTGGTCAGTCCCCCAGTCTTGATACTGGTCAGTCCCCCAGCCTTGATACTGGCCAGTCCCCCAGCCTTGATACTGGTCAGTCCCTCAGCCTTGACACTGGAGACTGGTCAGTAACTCAGCCTTGACACTGGAGACTGGTCAGTACCTCAGCCTTGATACTGGAGACTGGTCAGTACCTCAGCCTTGATACTGGAGACTGGTCAGTCCCTCAGCCTTGATACTGGAGACGGGTCAGTCCCTCAGCCTTGATACTGGAGACTGGTCAGTACCTCAGTCTTGATACTGGAGACTGGTCAGTACCTCAGCCTTGATACTGGAGACTGGTCAGTACCTCAGCCTTGATACTGGAGATTGGTCAGTCCCTCAGCCTTCATACTGGAGATTGGTCAGTCCCTCAGCCTTGATACTGGAGATTGGTCAGTCCCTCAGCCTTGATACTGGAGACTGGTGAGTCCCTCAGCCTTGATACTGGAGACTGGTCAGTACCTCAGCCTTGATACTGGAGACTGGTCAGTCCCTCAGCCTTCATACTGGAGATTGGTCAGTCCCTCAGTCTTGATACTGGAGACTGGTGAATCCCTCAGCCTTGATACTGGAGACTGGTCAGTACCTCAGCCTTCATACTGGAGACTGGTCAGTACCTCAGCCTTGATACTGGAGACTGGTGAGTCCCTCAGCCTTGATACTGGAGATTGGTCAGTCCCTCAGCCTTGATACTGCAGATTGGTCAGTCCCTCAGCCTTGATACTGGAGATTGGTCAGTCACTCAGCCTTGATACTGAAGACTGGTGAGTCTCTCAGCCTTGATACTGGTCAGTCCCTCAGCCTTGATACTGGAGACTGGTCAGTCCCTCAGCCTTGATACTGGAGACTGGTCAGTCCCTCAGCCTTGACATTAGAGACATCACCTTCTATTAAGGCTGAGGGACTGATCTCAATATTACCACTCCGCTTCCCCAATTGCCTCCAGTATTGTAATCATCTCTGTATTCGACTAATGAAGCCTGCTGAGCAGGAGAAAGTTTTACTGAAAGATATCTAAGTATCGCACATTTGCCTTACTCATATTTATGTCTTGAAAAAGCTCTCGATAGAGCGAAACGTTGCCACAATAGAAGCTTGTACTGAAACTTTCCTTTGTCTTCATCCAGTATTTTATACAGCAAGAACACCAGTAAGCAGCGTGTTGTGGGAATGACACACATGGACACAATCAAGACACTGAAGAGGTTTCACTACTGGTGGCCGTTTCAGAATTAGGGTTGAAAAGACCACTAGTGGCTAAACGTCTCCGTCAATAAACATCTTCATTGAGCATGTCTCTTATTGTAAGAGTTTGTCGGTATTAACATGCCTGAATCGCCATATTAACATTGTATAAGATAGATAACAAGTCGAATACTAAGACAAATGCGCAGCACTTGGGAATCATTACTGATAAATCTTGCTATACAGGCGGAACGTTTCGCTAATAAAGATACCCAAACGTTGCACATATGTCACACTGTTCCTGTACAAGTAGCGTGTTGTTATAGAGATACATAAGTATAATTGGTCCAGTAGAGACGGCACAAAGCAACAGTGGATGGATCCGTAAAAGGCATTAGCTTACCTGAAGCAGCATACGTTTCATTAGATTTGTGGCTGGGAACCCCTGCTGGAGACGTGCCCAGGCCTACGTGGGGGTAGAGTGAGGAGAGGTAAGGACATTACACAAACGCAGGGTAAAGCTGGTTGGTGAATGAGGGTGATAGCGAGGATGGTGAGCCTGAGAAGCATTTCTTGGTGATCAATGGTAATGAGGTTTGAAGATGTGCCCAAGCTTAGGCTGGAGGTAGAAGGGGGGGGAAAAAAAGGGACATTAAACAGTGGAGGCGATAGATAAATGAGGGTAATAGCGAGCATAAGCAGGGAGGAGGATGGTGCGCCTGAGAGGCAGTGCTTGGTATCAGGGATAGCAAGTGAGGTTTCAAGAGGTTAAAAGCACGTAAAGGAGGTTAAGAGTACGTACCTTGCCTGATGGTAGTCCGGCAGCCTCCAGAGCCACCTCCACTCGCTTCTTGTCATCGCCGTGACGAGCAAACAGTTTTACGATGCTGCGGCAAAAACAATACACTACATTAATCAACCAATTTGCATAAAATAAAAATTATGGAAATTTTCATTTCGTAAATATTTTCAAAATTTTAAAATTTTGTGGGTCTCCTCTATTATTAACAAAACACCTCGCAAACATTTCTATTTCTACTCTTATTATTATTACTATTAGTACTGTTATTACTACTACTGTTGTTATTACTATTATTACTAATACTGTTATTACTACTATCGTTATTACTATTACTACAACTATTACTACTATTACTTTTATTACTACTATTACTATTACGACGCTCCGGGGAAGCACTAAGCTCGTCGGTGTCATGCAGAGCCTAAGAATGGAAGGTAATCATATTTGAGCCAAGGAAAGATAGCATCATGGTACCATCTTTGATGGGTACACCATCAGCAACTATCTCGGCTCTAATACAAACTTTACCACAATCTCAAACGTCTATTTTGGAACCCAAACTTGTAAAGTGTGAAAATTTTACGGTGAAAAGTTTCACTCTATTTAGAGCTTTATGTCTTTTTATAAAGCTCTACACAGGGCGACACTGTCTGGCTAAATGTTTATTTTGAAACTTCCTCTTTGTGAATAAAACGTAGTGAATGTTTTACTTATATTTTTGTTTCATAAATGAAAAAAAAAAAAGAGCTAAATGTTTGCTTTTATAGTGCATAGAGTAATCGTGCCTGTGTAGTAACAGTGGATAAGTAACGTAGCCGAGTGTAGAAATGTTGGTGAAATATAGAGTAAAAGTTGTAGTAGCACTCTCATGAGAGTTTGTACATGTGTAGGATGACATTACCATCATTGAAGAAGACTACCATCCTATAGTAAAAACTAGACAACTACCACGAGGGAAGTACTACCACTCCATTGTAATGTGTAAAAACTAGGAAGCACCTTTTTTTATCTCATAAAACGTAAGACAGTACACTCACCGAAACTTACTTACATGCTATAAAACACAGATGTAATTTGCCTTAATAGCATTTTAGCTTAAATTTTCTTTGGTTATTCAAGATCCTGGAGTGAAAAGGCCGCAGGAGCATGGAACATACCAGGAGTGACACTATCCACTCCGACCATAGAAGAGCAAACTATATAGAGTGACAGCAGATTTTTTAACTTCAAGAGAAGAATACCACAGCAGAGCACTTCATAAGTTAGCAGAGCACACACACCAATGAGCAGCAGCACAATACCACCATAGACAGCAGTCCACTACAAGGGTCAGCAGCCCACCACCAGGAGCATCAGCACCACCACTACCAGGAGCAGCAGCAGCCCAACTGATGCATTGTTATCACCACCACCAGTGAGCAGGACACTCACTACAATGAGCATGCAGCTCCAACTACATAGAGCAGCAACCACACCTAGGACACATTGACCACACTACTAGGAGCAAAGAGCAAGCAACTTCAAGAGCAGCAGCACCACTACCAGGACATAGCACTACTACCATGAGCAGCAGCACCACCACCAGGAGCAGCAGCACCACCACTACCAGAGCAGAAGCACACACCCAGAGCAGCAGCACACACTCACCAGAGCACAGCACCACTACCAGGAGCAGCAGCATACAGGACAGCACCACCATACCAGGAGCAGCAGCACCACCACTACCAGGAGCAGCAGCACCACCACTACCAGGAGCAGCAGCAGCACCACTACCAGGAGCAGCAGCACCACCACCAGGAGCAGCAGCACCACCACTACCACCAAGAGCAGCAGCAGCACCACTACCAGGAGCAGCAGCACCACCACCAGGAGCAGCAGCACCACCACTACCAGGAGCAGCAGCAGCACCACTACCAGGAGCAGCAGCACCACTACCAGGAGCAGCAGCACCACTACCAGGAGCAGCAGCACCACCACCAGGAGCAGCAGCACCACCACCAGGAGCAGCAGCACCACCACTACCAGGAGCAGCAGCAGCACCACTACCAGGAGCAGCAGCACCACCACCAGGAGCAGCACACCCCCTACCAGGAGCAGCAGCACCACTACCAGGAGCAGCAGCACCACCACCAGGAGCAGCAGCACCACCACTACCAGGAGCAGCAGCACCACCACTACCAGGAGCAGCAGCAGCACCACTACCAGGAGCAGCAGCAGCACCACTACCAGGAGCAGCAGCAACACTACAGGAGCAGCACCCCCTACCAGGAGCAGCAGCACACCACTACCAGGAGCAGCAGCACCACCACTACCAGGAGCAGCAGCAGCAGCACCACCACCAGGAGCAGCAGCACCACCACTACCACCACCATGAGCAGCAGCAGCAGCACCACCACCAGGAGCAGCAGCACCACCACTACCACCACCAGGAGCAGCAGCAGCACCACTACCACCAGGAGCAGCAGCACCACTACCAGGAGCAGCAGCACCACCACCAGGAGCAGCAGCACCACCACTACCACCAGGAGCAGCAGCAGCACCACTACCAGACAGCAGCCCACCAACCAAAGGGCAGCAGCACCACCACTACCACCAGGAGCAGCAGCAGCACCACTACCACCAGGAGCAGCAGCACCACTACCAGGAGCAGCAGCACCACCACCGGGAGCAGCAGCACCACCACCGGGAGCAGCAGCACCACCACTACCACCAGGAGCAGCAGCAGCACCACTACCAGGAGCAGCAGCACCACCACCAGGAGCAGCAGCACCACCACTACCACCAGGAGCAGCAGCACCACCACTACCAGGAGCAGCACCACCACCACCACCACCACCACCAGGAGCAGCAGCACCACCACTACCACCAGGAACAGCAGCACCACCACCAGGAGCAGCAGCAGCACCACCACTACCCCCAGGAGCAGCAGCATCACTACCACCAGGAGCAGCAGCACCACTACCACCAGGAGCAGCAGCAGCACCACTACCACCTGGAGCAGCAGCAGCACCACTACCACCAGGAGCAGCAGCAGCACCACTACCACCAGGAGCAGCAGCAGCACCACTACCACCAGGAGCAGCAGCAGCACCACTCCACCAGGAGCAGCAGCAGCACCACTACCACCAGGAGCAGCAGCAGCACCACTACCACCAGGAGCAGCAGCAGCACCACCACCACCAGGAGCAGCAGCACCACCACTACCAGGAGCAGCAGCACCACCACTACCACCAGGAGCAGGAGCAGCAGCACCACCACTACCACCAGGAGCAGCAGCACCACCACCACCACCAGGAGCAGCAGCACCACTACCACCAGGAGCAGCAGCAGTAGCAGTAGCACCACTACCACTAGGAGCAGCAGCAGCACCACTACCACCAGGAGCAGCAGCACCACCACCACCACCAGGAGCAGCACCACCACCAGGAGCAGCACCACCACCAGGAGCAGCACCACCACCAGGAGCAGCACTACCACCAGGAGCAGCACCACCACCACTACCACCAGGAGCAGCACCACCACCACCAGGAGCAGCAGCACCACCAGGAGCAGCTCCACCACCACTACCACCAGGAGCAGCAGCAGCACCACCACTACCACCAGGAGCAGCAGCAGCAGCCCACCACCAGGAGCAGCACCACCACCAGGAGCAGCAGCACCACCACTACCACCAGGAGCAGCACCACCACCAGAAGCAGCACCACCACCACTACCACCAGGAGCAGCAGCAGCACCACCACCAGGAGCAGCAGCACCACCACCACCACCAGGAGCAGCAGCAGCACCACCACTACCACCAAGAGCAGCAGCACCGCCACCACCACTACCACCAAGAGCAGCAGCACCGCCACCACCACTACCACCAGGAGCAGCAGCACCACCACCACTACCACCAAGAGCAGCAGCACCGCCACCACCATTACCACCAGGAGCAGCAGCACCGCCACCACCAGGAGCAGCACCACCACCACTACCACCAGGAATAGCAGTAGCAGCACCACTACCACCACCACCATTACCACCAGGAGCTGCACCACCACCAGAATCAGCACTACCAGCAGTAGCACCACCAGCACTATCACAAGCACTACCAGCAGCAGCACCACCACCACAACCAGCACTACCAGCCGCAGCACCACCATCAGCACTACCAGCAGCAGCAACACTACCAGCAACAGCACCAACCACCACCAGCAGCACCACCACCACCAGCTCCACCTCTACAAACAGCAGCAACACCCGTAGCGCAAGCGGCACCATCTAGCACCGCAATACCACCACCACCACCACACCACGTACCTCCTACTCCTACCTCTACCCCAACCCGTGGTATATAAGGGATGATAAAGGGTGTATAAGACTCCCCAGAGTCTGCCGCTGAGCCTAGAGCCGGAGCCCAACCTTCACCCTTAATACATTCGCTGCTGCAATATCGGAAAATGCAAATGTGCTGAGGAGAGGCGTTTGCCAGCGACCACATATATGGCAACACACTTCTTTCTTACTTGTGACTAGGTTTTTTCTACTCTGCAGACCAGCCTTGGGCTAACTTTTGTTGATTGCTTGTTCACCCAAGCTGCTGCTATTGGCAGCAAGCTGGCTCAGTCATCAGAGCCTAGTTGATCTGATTTTTTTTTTTTTGAGGTAGTGGTCCAGTTTCTTCTTGAAGACTGGAGACCCCGACTCGCTAAAGTGCACACAAACACACTTACTCAGTGGCCAGACAAGCTGATACTGCAATCTAGCCAAAGCAAATAAAAGTTTATGAAAATTGGAGAAGGGGAAAGTACCACAGAAATGTAATTACAGCCTAGAGAGCACGTCGTAATGGTCCAGCAACTGTGAGGCGGCAAGAGCTACCTGCTCTAAGGCTACGTTGCCCTGGGGTTGTGAAACTATTGTGACCATGTATACCTTCAATAAGTTCCGAATTCTTCTACTCTCGGAACCCGGCCATGGGCCAGGCTCGTTTGGCGCTTGTCTGGTCAACTAGGCTGTTGGTGCTGGTCCCTCCAGGGAGGTTCCTTGACGCTGGTAAGGGGCTCTTGATCTAGGGAATTGGATCTGTGCTCCGGTTCCCTGAAT